TAGCATTTTGTTAGTCTGCTTTTAGGAACTGTTTGCTATGTCTTACAGGTACAATTTTCTTCCAACATTGGGATCCTCTTTCCTTCAATAACTGCAGGCAACATAAGCTGGGGAGTTATTTTACATAACAATAGGATAAGATGTTATTTGTTTATAAGTTATTCAGCGTCTAAAGGCCTTAAGGTACCAAGCATAACACAAGATAGAAAAGAAACAAATTTGCCTTGACATTTAGCTGTAAATTGAAATTAATTCATATAAAATACTGAGATGAAACACTTTAGTTGTAGAGTTTTGCATACTGCTTAGGTTTCATGATTTTGTCACTTTAGATTTCCATTCAAAAATGTGCTTTTAAATAACTCTGTAAACTCATTAGCTGAGTAAAATTCTCCAGCTATCCACTTTTTCCTGTATTTTCTTACTCTGCAGGCGAAAACAGCATTTTAATATTTAACATTCTTACGTGATCTCTTTCATGTGGATTGTTTTTTGTTTTCTTGTCCCTGTCCCTACCTATTCTGGAGTCATAACAGGCCGGTGGGTGCACTGCCAGATCTGGGTGTGCGTGTGTGGTGTCAGGATACCATTACTGGGAAATGGATGACTGCAAAACAGTGAGGCCTGCTTGTAGGGAGATGACATAACCAGCAGCTCACTGAATGCCATTGCCAAGACAAATAGGATTGAGCTCTCCCCTCTTGGTGGCTGTTCTCATCCATGCTGAAATTCATTGCCACCCTTGGCTCTGCTTTTCTGTAACCTGGAGGAGCTTACTGAAATTTCTACCCAAAGGAAAAAAAAAAACAGAGGGACCAAAACAGGATGTAAGTGAAGTTTCAGTGTTCGAAACCAGGAAATAAATGATGAAATGTAGAAAAGCCAGGGAGGAAATTCTAACTGGCACCAAGTTGGGAGGTCAGCATCAAAGGCCACAAGATGCTGACGAGGACTTGTATCCCAAAAGTTCTTTAACTTGTGCTTCTTGTGAGTTGAAGTAACACATTTTTTTATTCATTCTCCATCACCACCCTTTCTAATTACCAGTTACCCCCCTTAGTGCCCTGGAGGGCATGCAGGAATGACGGGAAGTTCCAGGACCTCACTTGGACAGCCACCCTAGGTGGCCACCCCCTTCCAGTGTCCATGCAGTAGGCAGACTGTAGGGTCACACCCAGAGAGCTGTGTAAGGTGCATTTCCTCTTAAGTACAACATAAATTAGAGAGCAGGAAAATGTTGGCTGTTGATTATTTTTTTGAGGGAGTATATTTAATACTATTTTAATATTAAAGAATTTTAAAAGAATTATTATCACTTTACTGCTTGCCTCTCAAGTGTGGCTTTATCCACTGCTCTGTCTCTAGCACCTAGAACAGGGCTTGGCAGTGTTGAAAGAAAAGCTTCAGCCAAATTAAATTTAAAGGAGTTTAATAGAGCAATGAATGATTCATGAATCAGGCAGTCCCCAGAATCACAGCAGATTCACAGCAGATTCACAGAGACTCCAGGGATGCCTTGTGGTCAGAATAAATTTATAGGCAAGAAAAGAGAAGTGACATACAGAAATTGGAAGTGAGGTGCAAAAACAGCTGGATTGGATACACGTTGGCGTTTGCCTTATTTGAACAAAGTTTGAACACTCAAATAGTGTATTACTGGTTGAAGTATGGCTGCTGAGATTGGCTAAGACTTAGCTATTGTTACAGGCACATACTCCTAAATTAGGTTTTCAATCTTGTTTACCTATTAAGTTGGGTTATGATTGGTCCACAAGGGCTCAAATATAGAAGTACAGAGTCCTTCTCAGGCCATATTTAGCTTGCTTTAACAGCAGATACTAGATACCCATTAAGTTTTCATGAAATGAATGTATGGTCCACAGATCATCAGCCTCAGAATGTCCTAGGTGATCATTACAAAATAACTATTAGATACTAAGTTTAGTACCTGGGTGATGAAATAATCTGTACATCAAATCCTCATGACACAAGTTTATTCATATAACAAACCTGCACATGTACCCCTGAACCTAAAGGTTAGAAACAACAGAAAAACCAAATGCAGATTCTCGAGCACAGCCTAGGCCTTCAAAATCAGAATGTCTGGGAGAGAGCCCACAGAATCTGCATTTTAAAAACGGCTTCCCCTGCAGATCCATAGGTGCTCTCAGATTTGAGCACTCTTATCCTACAGACACACCACTTGTTTCCAATTTCCTTGTTGCTTTTCATATATGTTGTAACATGATGAATGAATTTGGTTCCTGTCCTCTATTTCATGCCCCATCACAGCAATATTATGTAATGGATATCCTCAATATAATGAATGAATGCCAATATTATATAATGAATATTTGCCTGGCTGTTATACATTTTAATGCTGTCAGACAAAATTGACACTCTCTTTATTACCTATTTCCCCGTTGTTGAATTACCCACCTCTTTACCTCAACTATCTTCCTTTATTCTGTATTTTCACAGAGAGTATGAAATTTAGACATACATCTTTGTTTTCTTTTATTTTTGAGCTATTTCCTTGGTGAGCTGGGTGTTCTTTCTAGAAGTTTCTTGCACACAGGGTATCTAATATCCAGAGGGCTCCCTTCATGGTTCCCTTCCTTCATGCCTTCCTTTTCCTTTTTTCTGTTCTTCCCCCCCCCCTTTTTTTTTTGAGACAGAGTTTCACTGTTGTTGCCCAGGCTGGAGTGCAATGGCATGATCTCAGCTCACTGCAACCTCAGCCTCCCAGGTTCAAGCCATTCTCCTGCCTTAGCCTCCCGAGTAACGAGGTTTCACTATGTTGGCCAGGCTGGTCTCGAACTCCTGACCTTGTGATCCATTCACCTTGGCCTCCCTAAGTGCTGGGATTACAGGTGTGAGCTACCACACCCAGCTGAATTTCTTTTTTCTAGGGCATGAGAGAAGATTCAGTGAGAAAAAGGGACATTTTCAAAGAATGTTTCTCCTTCTTCTCCCAGGAAAAGAAACACAGAACAAAACAAAAATGTAGCCAATCTGCCATGAAAAATGCAACTGTAAACATTATAATTTCTCCTTTAAATAACAGAGTTATGTAGATTGTATTTGTCTAACAAGCACTTACATACCACTTGCTGTAGGTCAACACTGTTGTGGGCATTTTACAAATTTTTTTTTCGAGACAGAATTTCACTCTACCATCCAGGCTAGAGTGCAATGGCATGATTTTAGCTCACTGTAAACTCTGCCTCCTGGGTTCAAAGAATTCTCCTGCCCCAGCCTCCTGAGTAGTTGGGATTACAGGTGCATACCACCATGCCCAGCTGATTTTTGTATTTTTAGTAGAGATGGGGTTTCACCATGTTGGCCAGGCTGGTCTCGAACCCCTGACCTGAAGTTACCTGCCTGGCTTGGCCTCCTAAAGTGTTGGGATTACAAATATTGACCCTTAAAACAAAATTTGATCTGCATAACAACCCTCTAGGGTGTAGGTGCTCTTATCTCCACTTACGGATGAGGAAAGTGAGACACTTGCCAACATTCTACATGATATACTTAACTGTAAAATCAGAAAATGACAGTAATAATTAGAACTTTGACCTCATATTGAACAGTGATAGTTAGAAACCAAAAAGAGAGCCAACCATTTTATATTAGAGTTGGAAGCATGTCAAATGTTTTTTCTGGTCCCAGGGTAATGGGTCTGGGAGACCAAGCAAATTATGTTCAAATCCCAGAATGATCAACTGTCTGTCTGAGGCTATTAAAATATATCTGTACTTCTCCAGAGCACAGATAAAACTTCTTCAGATATCATTTGCTTGTTTCTGGGCAAAGCATGTGAAAGCCAGTCACCCTCAGTAAGGAATTCTTTTGGTTTAAAACTGAGTATTTCACTAGTGTCAGGATTATTCCTTTTGCTGTTTTTTTTAACGTGGTTTTTTTTTTTTTTTTGCAAATGGTGTTATATTCGCCATTATTAAAAGTAACACTTCTGACAGTCTATACTGTGCATACTTCGTGGTGAAGCTGCTGGTCACAGGTGAGGAAGGAAAGTGACATTCTCTAAGAAAGCTAAGGATGGGTGCGATGTCTCATGCCTATAATCCCAGCATTTTGGGAGACCAGGGCAGGCAGATCAGTTGAGCCCGGGAGTTCAAGACCAGGCTGGGCAACACAGTGAAATCCCCTCTGTACAAAAAATAAAAATAATTTGCGGGGCATGGCGGTGCATGCCTGTAGTCCCAGCTACTCAGGAGGCTGAGGTGGGAGGATTGCTGGAGCCCAGGAAGTAGAGGTTGCAGTGAGCCAAGATCACATCACTGCACTCCAGCCTGGTCAACATACTGAGACTCTGTTCCAAACAACCACAACGACGACAACAACAGAAAGTTAATCCTTTTCCTTTAATGCCTCAAAGCCTTTGGGAAACACTTCTTAATTCTGAGAACGTTATTTTCTTCATTTATGAGAGAAGCCAAACTCAACAGCTTTAGACTTTAAAGTTGGGGTTTCATTTCAATGGTGCCCAAGTAGCAGTGGTTTTTAAGGGGGTGTGGGGTGGGGATATTGTCCCCTTAGGTGACAGTTTGTAATCTGGACTCATTTTTGGTTGTCAAAACTGTGAGAGTGCTACTGCACCTAGAGGGTAGAGGCCAGGGATACTGCTTAAACATCCTACAATGCACAGGACAGTTTTCCCACCACAAAGAAATATCTAGCCCCAAATGTCAATAGGACCAAGGCTGAAAAAGTGTACTTTGGAGCAATTTGATGCAATTTTGTGTTAGTGAACTGTCTTGTTTTTTTTTTTTTTTTTTTAAAAGACAGAGTCTTGCTCTGTTGCCCAGGCTGGAGTGCAGTGGCGTGATCTCGGCTGATTGCAACCTGTGCCTTCCAGGTTCAAGCCATTGAACTGCCCCAGCCTCCTGAGTAGCTGAGATTACAGGCTTGTGCCACCATGCCTGGCTAATTTTTGTATTTTTAGTAGAGACAGGGTTTCACCATGTTGGTCAGGCTGGTCTTGAACTCCTGACCTTCTTCTGCTTGTCTAGGTCTCCCAAAGTGCTGGGATTACAGGTGTAAGCATATGTGCCTGGCCCCTGTCTTCATTTTTACTAGGAGCAATGTAATTCTAATTCTTTGTACCTTGATTCCATTTACAGTTTTTTTCTTGAATACTGTTTCATTTCAAATTATAAATTTTAGGGGTGGGGACAGTGGAGGGAAGAGGTGACAGATGGTGTCCGTTGCCAGGAAAACTATAGTACCTCTTAGAGTTTCTTTCATTGTTGAATTTAGGAATAAGTGGGGATGGTTTAAGGTTTGGGGTTTGTGGGGACTTGAGAGATCTTCCATTGAAACATGCTATGAACAAACTAAATCATGGGTAATACCTTGTGGGTTGTCTCTGGGTTGTGCAGTCTGATAGGCACTTTGCTGACATTTATTTTATTTCTATAATAGTTCAATAAAATTCAAAATGTTACCAATATTAAAGTCAAGGAAACAATCTCAGTAGAATAGTAATGGGACCCATGTTATAGACTGAATGTGAATCTCCCCAAAGTTTATGTGTTGAAATCCTAACCCTTAATGTGATGGTGTTAAGAGGTGGGACTGTTGGCACCTCTGGAAAGTATTTGGATCATAGAGGTGGAGCTTTCTTGAATGGGATTAGTGATCTTATAAAAGAGACCGCAGAGAGTTTACTTACTTTCTTTTCTGCCACATGAGGATACAATGAGAAGATGGCCGTTGGCTGGGCACGGTGGCTCATGCCTGTAATCCCAGTACTCTGGAAGGCCGAGGCAGGCGGATTACCTGAGTTCGGAAGTTCAAGAGAAGATGGCAGTCTACATCCCAGAAGAGGATCCTCAGTAGAACCTGACCATACTAGAACCCTGATCTTGGACTTCAGCCTCCAGTGCTCTGAGAAATAAATTTATTGTTTATTAGATTAGGTTACTCGTAAGTGACCTTATTATGATATTTCATTATAGCAACCTGAATGGACTAAAACACCCCAAGTTTGTTGTGGAAGTGTGGTGTACAGAGTAAATTTTTTGAGCAACCGTTCTAGTATTGCCTTCCCTAAGTGCTCTCTGCTTTGCTTGGAATAAGAGGTAGGGGGGTTTGGAGAACCCTCCCCTGGGTGTTATTCTAGTGCTTTGCTGCTTTCCCTCCGAAAGGACGGTGTAGCCCAGCTCTTGGCGCATGGTTGCCAGTGATGTAGAAATTCTATTTCTAAGGATTAAAGAGGGAGGGCCGACAACAATTAGGTAACTTGCAGCCTCTGCCACATTCATGTTTCAAGATTCTTCTTTGTTTTTTTTTCATTTTAGTCACTTAATGATTATTCCTTCTCTTATTCTTCCTTGATCTGCAGGGATTGTGAAACAATCCAGAAACTTAGTAATATTATGAATAACATTTATCAAGTGGCCACAATGTGCTTGCTAATGTTCAAATAAGATGAGGAATGTCAGCTTTGCTCTCCAAACCTTGTTAGACTCAAACCCTCATGAGACTTGATACCATGACTGCTTATGTCCTTTTATTCCCCAAATCAATTCCCCTTTCCTTTCTTACTGGGTTTTAAATGCAGATGACACATTCAGGGAAGATGAGAGGGCCTGTCTGAGTTGGAGAAGTAGGAGTTGGTATTTTACAGAGGCTGTGACACTCATACTTCATGATTTAGATGGGCCCATAATTTCACTATCACCATTGACATATTTTTCCCAAGTTAGAAAATGAACCGTTAGTGCTATTTGACAGTGTTTCTTTGGGATACTTTTCATTATTCAGTCTGTTTATGAGTAATTAAAGGTCCACCATCATCATCTACATTTAGCTGTTTGTGATTTGTGCGGAGTTCACATTGAGTTATTGATTTTACCCCCTGCAGTGTAAACATGAAAGACTATGAAATAGTGATCTTGCTGGTAAAATGTAGTTTGCATATTTTTTAATAATGAAGACATTTGGCTGTATTAGTCTTCCTGCCCATAGGAATAGAAATGTGGAAACCTGCAGGAGATATAAAAGACATTTTTTTAAAAAAGGGAAATAAAAAGAAAAACTCTTCATGTACAACTGTAGGGCCACAATAAATTCAAAAGAATGTATTTTCTTGATGACTTAGTAGCCCATTTAATTCATAATCCATGTTAGTTTAAAGTCAATGTAAACTGGTTTATGTGTTTTTCTTTAGCAATATAATAAATTGATTTTAGGATGGGGCGCAAACGAATTATGAGTGCTAGTGTTTTATTCTAGTGACTGAGGGTCTTCTAAATTAATGAGTTAAACAGTACAGGATATAGCATCAGAAGAGAGTTCCTGCTGTTTACCTACAATGGTTGCATCCTCACTAAAAAAATATGCACTGCCCTCTGCTACAAAGACACCCGCCAGAACCTTGTTCTTTTGTCTTTGAGGACTGTTTCCCTTTGTGCTCTGCCAGCCTATCACAATAAAATGATTTCAATGATGTGGTCTCATTGCAGGAAATGTTTAATGACTCTCAGGAAAACTATAAATAAATCTTATGTCATTATTACACCAAAGAACATCTTCAGACCTTAGATAATTAGGATGTCCCGCCTAGGTTTATTATGAGAAGCTTTCATTCAAAGAGGTGCATGCTTGATACTTGATTTTAATTTATTTTATTCTAGGCTTTAAATTGTCCTGTCTCAATGCAGAAAAAAAAAGTGTCAAGTCTATTGGCTAGTAGGGAGGTTGTCATTTTTAACAAAGTCCTCATAAGATGGAAGGGGACCTTCAGAGGTTGGTCATCTTGTCCATCTCTAGCCTGCAAATATTAATAGTACTCAAATCGCCTTGAACAGGTAAGTGAGAACAGAGCTTGTTATTAAAGGTTCTTAGTGAGAACAGAGCTTGTTGTTAAAGGTTCTTAAAGACCTTTATTTATATTAATTTAATATATTTATATTAATTTATTGAATATAATATTAAAGCACACTTCAAAATTTTCCCCCAAGTAACATTTTAGTTAAATTGAAAGAAACTGTTTCTATCCACTGATCTAATTCTTTATTTCTCATGAAAGCTCTATTTTTATTTGTAGCTTAGATAATTGAAGAATGTTCTTAGTAGCTTGAAGTTTGTCTTCCTTGTATGCATTTGGATTTGATAGGAAGAATGATCATATTGACATATAACATGGAATATACTTTTTAAGGTCAAGGTATCTGGTCATTTATTTCCCAATAGAGTATTACTAGGTCCACATTCTTTTGATTCTGATGATTTTTTCTTTTTTAGAAAAGTACATTAAAAAAATAAATGCCATATTTAATTTTGCAAGAAAAGGAATGATAGCCTGATTTATACTTATTTGGGCTAGATTAATCATCTAACAGAACAATGTCCCTTAGGCAAAATCTTACTTAATTTGGTGTAATTTCATTATTTATCTCTTTTCCTTTTTTTTGATGTTAAACATTACTGTCTGCCGTGGCTCTTCTGCTTGTCAGAAGTTAATTAAGTTGCAACTATAAAAAACCCCACAAAATAAAAGTTGTGGCTTACAGATTCTATTTAGCAGGTTAGGCATAGCCAGTTGTGGCTTATCCAAAGCAAGCCGCCTAGCAAACACACATGTACCCTATGGCTTCACACTGCAGAGGCTGCCGGTGGCCATGTGGTTAGACCATCATCCACAAACTAGCTCACCAGGGGAGTACTCTCAGCCCCTGACACAGTCTCTTTCTTTCCCCGTCGGCCTGCGGACCACCTCCAGGAAAAAGCTGACTTCTAAACAATTTCCTGGTGAGCCAGCTGGGGAAGGAGAGGATTTCCTTAGCTGAACACTGAGCATTGCTATTCAAAACAGACAAAACTAGCAAGTGCTAGAAATCTGAGGGAAAAGGGCAAGGGAGAAGTGACAGGGAGGGGCTGGCTGAGGTCTGCAAATAGGTTGCAAGAGTTTTTAAGGTGTTTTTCAGGCAGCCATTCTTTTGACAGCTCTTCGAAATCTCAAACAGTAATAACTTGCTGTTGGAATTTATATTTCGGAATATAGGCTTCCTTGTCTATTGCTAATTTACTTCACTGATGAGATTCTCTTACTGTTACAGTGGGTATGGTGTAGGCTTTGCTTTTAGTAAGCTGTACAAAATTGTTAGTCATCAGGAGGAGATACTGTCTGTGGAGAAAATTAGGTAGAAATTAACAACAATAACAACAACAGTTGGAAGCTGAGCTCAGTGGCTCACACACCTGTAGTCCCAGCTACTCAGGAGGCTGCGGTGGGAGGATGGCTTGAGCCCGAGTTTTAGATTGCATTGAGCTGTGATTGTACCACTGTCCTCGAGCCTGGATGACAGAGTGAGACTCTGTCTACACACACACACACACACACACACGCACGCACGCACGCACACGCACACAGGCGCACATGAGACTTTGAAGGTACAAGATATTTGGAGATTGCCCTCCTCCATAACTAATATATTAAAATTAATACCCACTTTCCTGATGAAATATATATATCTACATCGGATTTTTTTTTTTTTTTTTGAGAGTTTCGCTCTGTTACTTAGACTGGAGTGCAGTTGTGTGATCTTGGCTCACTGCAACCTCTGCTTCCTGGTTCAAGCCATTCTCATGTCTCAGCCTCCTGAGTAGCTGGGATTACAGGTGCCCGCCACCATGCCTGGCTAATTTTTGTGTTTTTAGTAGAGACGGGGTTTTGTCTTGTTGGCCAGGCTGGTCTGAAACCCTTACCTTCAGGTGATCTGTCCACCTCGGCCTCCCAAAGTGCTGGGATTACAGAAGTGAGCCATTGTACCTGGTCACTACATAGGAATTTTTGATTTGCAGTTGACTTGCTGTGGATTATACTTAGGGATTCTGATTCTGCTGTTTCTCTGTATTTTGCAGGCAGTTCCCTTCCTCCCACCATATTCCTGATATTTCTAGGGCCTTGGGAGGTTTGTTGGCCTAGGTACTGTGTCTCTGGTACTGATGGATTATGTTACTCTGTTCTTAAAACCCTTCCATTGCTCTCCATTGATTTTAGGATGAAGGTCGGTCAAAGCCTTTAACCTGGTCCTTTGTGTTCTGGCTTCTCTCTGCTGCCTAACAAAGCCCCCAAGCTTAGTAGCTTTAAAACAAAACAAAACAAAACAAAAATACAATGATTGGTTATTGCTCATTATTTTGTGAGTTGGCCAGATAGTTCTCAGTCTCGTTTCACCTGGGCTCACTCATCTGCCGAGTTGACCTGGGTGGTGGCTGAGCTGGAAGTTCCAATGTGACTTCCTTCACATGTTTGGCCTTGGTATTGACTGTCCTCTGAGGCACCTTGGTGTCTCTTCCACAATGATTTATTTTCCTGCAGTAGGCTAGATTGGCTTCCTTACTTGCAGTTTCAGGGCAGCATTTCAAAAGAGGGAAGGTGGCGGTGGCAAGGCATCTTGAGGCCCTTGCTTTCGAGCTCATACAGTGTCACCTTTACCACATTTTCTTGGTCAAATCAAGTTCCAGGCCAGCCAGAATTCAGAGGATAAGATAGTAGACTCTACCTCTTTTTTTTTTTTTTTTTTTTTTTTTTTTACAAAATCTCTGTCTACTGCCCAGTCTGGAGTACAGTGGCACGGTCGTGGTTCACTGCAGCCTCAACCTCCTGGGCTCAAGGGATCCTTCCATCGCAGCCTCCCAAGTAGCTAAGTCCACAGGCATACGCCACCACACTCAGCTAATTAAAAAAATTTTTTTTTGGTAGAGATAGATAGATTCTCACTTTTTTGCCCAGGCTGGTCATGAACTCGTACCCAACTTGGCCTCCCAAAGTGAACCACCATGGCTGGCCTCTACCTCTTGGTGGAGTTTGCTGCAGAGAATTCAATCTACAAAACCATTCTTATCTTTCCACATGCGGCCTTTTATTCAACATTGTAGTCACTGAACCTCTTTCAGTTCTTTAAAATTACCTTGTTCTCCAGCTTTTTGCCTGAAAATATGTGTTTCTCTCCACCTGAGATATTCTTTCTTGCCTGTTTTTTTTTCTAGCTGACTACTATACATAGTTTAGATTTTTATCTTCGATGTCATTTACTAAGGGTGTTCTTCCTTTCCAGACACCCTAGCTTTGGGGAACTGTAATCTCTCTTCTGTGATCTAATAGCTCCCTATGCTTTCCTTGTCATAATAGCACTAATCATTCCTTTACCGGAATGTTTATTTTTTGTTTTTGTTTTTGGCTTTCCTGATAAACTACATACTGTAGAAAGGCGGGTCTGGTATCTGTCTTGTTCTTACTGTGTTTGTACCTAGCACAGTGGCTTATTATATGTAGGATTAAATAAATACTTGTGGAATACAGATAAAATTGGTGCAGATTACTTACTGATATTTGCTCACAAGAGGATTTCAATGTTCCCCTTTGTAATATCACCCCACAATCTCCCCTGTAAAAAAAAACCAAACATTTTCTTCTTAGCCCACAATCTGGCATCTAGCCCAATGTAGGAGGGGAGGGACTTGGTTTTATAATTAGTTGTGAGCCTTTTTCTTAGATGTACTGCACCATTAGTCCTGTTAAATCACTTGCTAACATCAAATGGATGTTTGGAAAAAGTGTACCTGTAGTCTATAAAATACATGGTTAAAGATGCCACCTTAAGCTAAGCCTTTATTTGTAAAGAACACAGAAAGACTTTTTGCTGCTTCATCAAACCTATTTTTTATTTCTTCTTTTTCTGAACCTCTATTGTATTTAGAATCATCCCTATAATGCCAGCATTTTGGGAGGCTGAGACAGGAGGATCTGTGGAGGCCAGGAGTTTAAGACCAGCCTGGGCAACATAGCAAGATCTGTTGCTATCTTAAAAAAAAATTTGGTGAAATGTATTAAAAAACAAAAGAATCAGTTCATTACGCTAATCGCCCTCTAATTATTCCTGTGCGTATCTTGGTGTCTAACCTAGATTCATCATTTTGATGGAATAGGGATATGTTTATACTCCATTTATTTTCCACTGTGCATACATACTATGATAAACAATTAATAAAACAGGCTTATCTAAGATGGCTTTCTTCTTTTACTCCAAATACTATACTTAGTATAATTTAGGAGTTTCAATGAGTATATATCCTAATCTAGCCAATTATAGCTAACCTCCAAGACCCCTCCCCTCCTCCCAATAATTTTCACCTCCATATATTCATGGCCTTGTATAGACCCCTCCCAAGCTAAATAGGACTGACATTCAAGCCAATGGTATGTGGTAGAAATGACACAGTATTACTCCCAAGGCTAGGTCATAACAGAATTGTGGCTTCTGCCTTGCTTTCTTGGATCTGTCACTGGGGGGTAGGCTAGCTGCTATATTATGAGGACAGACAAGCAATGCAACCATTGGGAAATGTCCATGTGGTGAGGAACCAGGGTCTCTTGTCAGCAGCCATATTAGTGACCATTTTAGAAGCAGATCCCTTAGTCCCAGTCAAGCCTTCAGATGAATGCAGCCCTGACCAATATGTTGACATGAGATAATGAGCCACAAACTAAAGTGTCCCTGACTTGTAGAAACTCTGTGAGATAATAAATGCTTATTGTCTTAGGCCGCTACACTTCAGTCATTTTGCATTCTCTGTGGACTCCAAGGATAGGATATGGTTTTTGTCTTCAAGTGGACTAATAATGAGTTTAGTCCTGGAAAATGTTCTTTTAGCCATATACACTTATTATTTCAGCCGTATACCCTTAAAATGCTTATTGAAACAAGTATAATCATAAACTTCCCTGAATGCTTAATTTTCAATGGAGCTTTTGGTTAGGTGCTGCCTAGAGGTAGATGGTATTGTTTCCTCTATCATATCAAGATTTAAACTTTGAAAAGATAGAACTGTTAAGTAAATGTAGTCTGGTATAGGATAGTGTAGCATCATACTTTATTTAAATATAATTATAAATCAGCTTTGGTTGCAATTAATAGCCTAAGCAGAAAGGAGAATGTATTATCTAGAGAAGGCAAAGTCTCATGCAACCCAAGGGGAAGGATGGAGAGGGCCTCATGAAGGGTCTTCTTCCCTCTGTTTATGCTTTTTTCTAGATAGGTTTTCTTTGATTTTCCATCTGCAAGGTGGAATTTGGAAGCCCCATTGGCCCTCTTATTATACGATGGCTTTAGTCACAGAGTTTCTGTGGTCCAGCTTCCTTGAAAGAGAATTTCATAGGTAGAGCTTCAAGTAGGTGCCCATGCCTAACGAAGTCAGCCATTGCTCGGGTGGGTAGAACTCAAGGGCTGCCCAGAGCTTATTCCTGTT